CATCAAATTTAATACAATTTAGGCCATTATTTCTTTAAAAAGTTTTTCTGTACAATCTCCTTTCTTTTCTCTGGGACATCATTGTCCAATAGGTCACTGAGACTCTGTTTTCTTCCAGTCTTTCCTCTTTGTGGCTCATTTTGGATGATTTCTATTATCCTGTTTTCAAATTCACTTTTTTTTTTATGTTTATATGCTCTTAAGCTTACCTAATGAATTTTTCATTTTAGATATTGTATTTTTCGGTTCTAGCGTTTCCATTTGCTTCTTTTTAAAAACAATTTCATTTTCTATAGAGAGTTCCCATCTGTTCAACCATGATGTCTATATTTTTCTTTAAATCTTAAACACATTTGTAATAACTGTTTTGAGATTCTCGTATGGTAATTCTAATACCAATTTCACTTCTGGGTCTGTTTCTTTGAACTTTTCCCCTAGGTATGGATCTCATTTTCCTGACTCTTTGCTTGTCTGATAATCTTTCTATAAGCTGGCCATTATGGATTCTCCATTGCTGAGCATCAGGATTGTGTTGTCTGCCTTTAAAGAGTCTTGGATTTTATTCTTACGGACAGTTAATGAACTGTGAGTCTGTTGGATCTTTTCAGGGATGTTTTGAGCTTCGCTGGGGCCGCTCTGAGGTGCCTTTCCTCTGGGCTGAGAGGAGCCGTGCCCCAGAGCTGTGGCCCCTGGGTTTCGGTGAAAGTTTTGGTCCTTCGGCAGGGCGCCTCCACTCTGGCTGTTGGGCAGTCCTCCCTCTTCCTGCAGTGTGTAAACTCCAGAATTTGGATTTAGCTCACAGCTTCTTAGTAGCTGCTCAGGCCTGTGACATCTTGCCTGCCATGTGGCAGTTTAATTTGGTCAAAGACTCAAGGAGGCCCTTGCGTGCCATTCCCTCCTCTGGCACATGCCACCCTGCGACCCGTGCACATCAGCATCGCTGGCTTCCCAACTCTGCCTCTGTCCAGCTCAGCCAGCCCCGGGCTCTGCTCGGGCTCCGCTTGCCCGTACTGTGGCCACGCCCCCTGCTGTCACCTGTCTCCGTTTCAGAGCTGCCCTCCCTGCTGTCCAGCATCTGAAAGCAGCCACGTCCTGTTCTTGCCCAGTTCCGCAGCTGCTTATGGCGGGTAGGCTTGTCGGACTCACCGTGGCGTCGTGGCTGGAAGCGGAAGCCTACCCATCCCAACTCAGCCGGCAGTCTCTTTGTTGCTCTTGTGAGAGAGCGTGTTTTTCTGGTTGTTTGGGGATTTTTCTCTTCGTAGTTCAGCAGTTTTTCTGTTTGTAGTGCTTCTTGATTATGTTGTTTGATGCCTCTTGTTTATAAAACTTTGAACCGTCATCTCCAAAAATCAATTCTGTGCACTCCCCACCTGCCTTCCCCTCCGTCCTCCAGTTATGTGTAATGAGACCTTTTCTTGTCTTTCTTTTCTATATTTTCCTTCCTTCTGTCTTTTCATGTTCCAGGCTGGATATTTTCTTCTGAAAAATCTTTTAAAAGTTCACTGATTCTCCCCAGGAGCTGCAGCGGCTGGAGACAGAGCTGGGCCGACCCCCCGAGCGCTGGAAGGACACCTGGGAGCGGGCGAAGGCCGCACAGCGCCTCGAAGGCCGGCCAGACGGACGTGTGAGCGGGGTGGGTGTGGGGGCCCGGGTGGGCTTGCTGCCAGGAGGAGGCAGAGGCTTCCTGGCACTGACAGGGGCCCCCTCTCCTGCCCCAGGGCGCCCCCAGCTCCCTGCTGGTGTCCAGTGTGCCCCACCACCGCCGCTCGCTGGGTGTGTACCTGCAGGAGGGGCCCGTGGGCTCCACCCTGAGCCTCAGCCTGGACAGTGACCACAGCAGCGGCTCCACTGCGTCCAGCTCCCGCCAGGCTGCCCGCCGCAGCACCAGCACCCTGTACAGCCAGTTTCAGACAGCTGAGAGTGAGAACAGGTGTGGGCACTTCTGAGCTGGGGGTGCTGGGGGTTCCCAGATGTGAGGCAGGTGCCTCGGGGGGCTTCTGGTCACTTCTTAGGTGGAAGGATTTGTGGGGAAGACACGATGGTGGCCCAAGCATAAGCTGAAAGTTGCTGGGGGGAAGCAGGTGGGCTCGGAAGGGGTGTGAGATGTGGGACAGTGAGCACAGCCAGGCTGAGAGGGCAGTGGAGCAAAGGGACAGGGATTCTGGGCTACCTGGGAGGGGAGGCGGGCGCCGGGTGAGGCCAGTGCCCTGCAGGCTGCACGTTTCTCCTCCTGGTCCCAGGCCCCTGGCTGCATGTGGCTACTTCCCTGACACCTCAACACCCCGGGGCTCTGCTGTGGGACCACCCCTGGTGTCTGTCATGTGAGGGTGTGTGGGCCCCTCCCTGTCACCTTCTAGGTACAGCCCAGGGCTTCTCTGTGGCCCCCTGGCCAGTGCTCCAGCCTGGGGTCAGTTTCAGGGTAGGGAGTTGGCCTTGCTTGCAGCTGTGGTCCCTGACGTTTTTGGCACCAGGAACAGTGCTCCTGTGAGAACCTAGTGTCTGACGATCTGAAGTGGAGCTGAGGCAGTGACGCTGGTGCCGGGGAGCGGCTGCAAATACCTCATGCTGTGGGGCCCGGTTCCTAACAGGCCATGGACCGGGACTGGTCTGCAGCCCCAGGGTTGGGGATCCCTGGCTTGCAGGACTGGCCTGGTAGGGGAGGGGTGGCTGCAGGGTCCGGGTTTGGCTAGGCGCTGATGGCGCTGATGGCCGGGCTCTGCCTGCTCACAGGTCCTACGAGGGCACGCTCTACAAGAAGGGCGCCTTCATGAAGCCCTGGAAGGCCCGCTGGTTCGTGCTGGACAAGACCAAGCACCAGGTGAGTGGCCCGCGGGTGTTGGGGCAGGGGCGGGGGAGGCCCTCCCCTGACTTTCTGTTCCCTCAGCTGCGCTACTATGACCACCGCGTGGACACCGAGTGCAAGGGCGTCATTGACCTGGCGGAGGTGGAGGCCGTGGCGCCTGGCACGCCCACCATGGGCGCCCCCAAGACCGTGGACGAGAAGGCCTTCTTTGACGTGAGCCGCAGCCGGGGGCGGGGCGGGGCGCCGGGCGGGGCTCCGCGGGGCAGTGCAGTCAGCCGCCCCCTTCCGCAGGTGAAGACGACGCGCCGTGTTTACAACTTCTGTGCCCAGGACGTGCCGTCGGCCCAGCAGTGGGGGT